GCAGGACTGGAAGCCGTCGTTTCTCAGCAATGAAGAATTCACGCAGCTGATGTTGGAGGTGAACATGCATATATGCCTTTCCTAATTTTGTCTAGCAGTCGTGGAAATGCCCATGCGTCTAGAATAAAATGTCATCTGCAGTTCCAAAAGAGGACATTCCAGGTACTGCTGTATTTGACCATCCAGCGGAGCTGTCACTGGGACAAAGGATTAGAGTCCCCGCATGTTGCTTTTCACTCTCGACGGTGCCATCGCGCCGCGCTGCTGCAGCCTGCAAAGCTGCGCAGGGACTCCCAAGAAATGCAATCCAGGGGAGAGATTCAAATCACAGATTACATTTTATTTTTACAAACAGAGGTGAGGAAAAGGGCACGTGGCAAGTTTTCTCCTGTTCTTGGAAGGCGTTACTACCTAATATTTATGCAAGACCAGCACCTAAAAAGCAACAGTGTCGCCTCCCTCTAGTGCTAGGTGCTGTACAAGCAGATAAAACCTGACAGCTCCTCTTGGTTTGATGCAGTTAATACTTCCACTCTAATGGTTTTCAAGGCCCTTGTCAAACACTTTATTCTAACAAGGAGCAGGGTTATTTTGCAATCATAGTTTTTAAATTACCTTTAAATTATACCATAGATGCTTTTAACGCTAGCTGGGATTTGAAGGGAGGTGACTCAATGGCGTTTATGTAGGTTCGAGATGAAACGCAAATGAGCTGCTAAAATGTATTTTTCTCTCTCAGTAACAGCTAGAACCTTCTTTAGCGAGGATCTTCTCCCGTACTAAACACATGGAGGTTGCATGGCCCCGCAGTGTCCTTTGGGAACAAGCTTCTCCTCCTCCCACAAATGATGTGAACGTGGGGCGTGATCCAGGCTCTGGCGGCAGGCAGGGAGGGATGCTGGGGAGCAGCTTGACCCGCCAAGGCGTGGCATGAAGCCGGGGCACGTTGCTGGCCCCCAGGGGCTGGCAGTCCCTCGGCCATTGAAGTTCATTGTGATGAGACTCCCCTGGTCCAGTGTTACGAGACGCTTTGCTCCCATCGCACTGACAACCGCCCATTCCCCTCTCAGCGTGCAGGAACTCTAACACACATAACTCCTTCAGTCTGCACTGAAATATTTCCGTCGGATAGCAATAAATTGGCAGTTGTCTTGACTGGCTGGGCCTTTGTTGATTCTACTTGTATGCCACACAACCTTAGATTAAAACAATTGCTTTTAGTTTCCCAGCTTATAAATCACCTTCTTGCTACTGTGATTTTCCATGCTCTTCAAGATAACATTGGGTATTGGGATGCCCCTGTTGAGCCAGCTGTTCATCATTCTCTTCTTTTCTGCCTTTCTGCCAATCTTATCTTATTAACATTTGGACAAGACTGCTTGAAGTTTTTCCCGTCCTGTTATTAAAAGATGGGAAGGGTTTTTTCAAACACTGATTCAAAAGAATCAGAGCATAATTGACTGCAGTAATACATCAGCTTTCCTGAAAATGGCCTTTTCTTACCCCATTGAAAAGGCTGTCATCAAATTACATAGAAGTGGGTATTAGGCTCTGTTTGTCCATCTAGGACTGTTGCAGTAGTGAAATCTTTGAAGAGGGATATGCCCTCTTAATGTGGAAGGACCAGTTGCGAGTAAATAAAAATAGAATTATGCATGCATACATTAACTTGATTTTACTCACTGATGTGAGTCACTTTTTGTATAATTTGCATTGGATATGAAATAAAGACTTGATTTAAAAAAACCAACAACCTTCACCATAGTAACATGCACAATCCAGCTGCCTTGTAAAACCACTGCTTTCTTCTACGGCCTAACAGCTATCGCGCTTTTTAGAAAACAGCTTGAATGTACTACACTAAAGAAAAACATATTCTCTGCGCTTAGATTAACAAAATCAAACTAACTGTAGCAGCTGAGGGGTTTTCAGAGATGCTAAACACACACTCTGCTACTGCGGTCTAAGTTATTGACCTGCTTTTCAAAGGATTGTAGCACCAGCAGATTCCCATTGACTTAAATAGTTGTGGGTGCTCAGCATTCTCTGGAAAAAGGAACATATGTTTGTGTCTTTATTCAAGGCTTTGTGTTTTCCTTCTTTTTTTTTTTTTTTTTAAAAACAATTAGCATTTTCCAGTGTTCTCAGAATTCTTTCCCTTATTGAAGTCAGCAGGGGGGAAGGATGTGCTGCGGCTCACAGGATCAACTGCTAGTCTGGCTTGGAGGCATGCCTGGGTTTGCAGTAAGGTTTTGTAACGCCGTGTCACCATGATCAGGCTGTTTGCAGTACACCTGTCTCCTGACCAGGTATTGCCTCTGGAGTATAGTCGAACTCAGCTCTGATTCAGTCATGCTTGCAGTGCCCATACTGCTCAAATGCCGCAGGCAACACCGACCCCAGCTCACCCGTGAACTGACAGGAAGGACCCAGACCTGCTCCACCTGAAGGCACTGGGAGCTTCACCAGTGACTCCTTAATGACAATGGGAAGGTTTTAATACAGTCTCTGAGCACCTACTCTTGACAATTTTTGGGAGGGTTCTGCTCAGAGTAGGTTGCTTTAGATCTGGAAATCTACCTATATTTAACTTTGAAGAAGATTTAGCTCAAAACTTTGCAGCTCAGACTGAAGAAGAAACGAATTTTGAAGGGGAAATTGCTCCTGTGCAGAGGATGGGGATAAGGCTGACATTCCCCTTCAGTCCTAGGAGTGAAGGGGCTTACCGCAAGGTGGGACCGAAGTGAGGAAAAAACTGCAGAAGGGTGAATTTCTCTTGGAATGAGTAATCTAATACCATGACCTTTAAAATAAATCACTCAATTAAAACTCAGGCTAAGGATTATTTGATCATTTGCATTGCTTTTACTTACATGAAAGCCCAGTAACATACAACGTTACATTAATACAAACTCAGATTTACGGGGTTTGCAGAGAAGTACCATTTTGAGATAGGACCGCATCCTTTCATCGTCCTTTGATATTTACACAGAACTCAAATGTTCATTTTAATAGCTTCCAAGGGATCCAGTCTTAGTCATTTTGCATTATTAAATTGTGTGATTAATTTAAAAACTGAGACATGAAATGTTCCTGTGAGCCCTTTGTTGCTTCAATAGTAGGTTTTACTAGACTACAAAGAATGTTGTAAAAGTTAAATCAGACTGTAAAATCAGAGAATTACTGTTCTGCAACTTGAGATAACGTTCCTACAGCTCGGTAACAATATGGTGCTGAAGTCAAACTGTTTTGATCAACATGCGATGAGACGCCCTGTTTACACCCCTCGTTCCTATTAAAGCACTCTCCACTTGTCTGTTTTTCTTAGGCATTAGATGGCTTCATTATAGCAGTAACCACAGGTGGAAGCATCATCTACGTGTCTGACAGCATCACACCTCTTCTAGGGCATTTACCGGTGAGTAATTCTGGCATTGGCTTTTCTACTACACATCGTAGGATGAGGCCCCTGCTTTTTTAGAAGCAGATGTAAAAGGGGGGTGGGGGGGTGTTTTCCTGAAAATGCGGTGAGGGGTTTTGTCCCTGCGTTATGCTGGCCGCTACTGTTGATCAGCTCTGTTCTCTCTCCGTCTGCTTCATACCCTTCAGGTTTTTGTTGCTATGAGGCACTTCGGCTTGAATGGAAAAAGCTCTGCGGGAATACTCTGGCCAGGGGAGGGACAGGGTGACCTGCCTGATCTTTTCCATCTCTGATTTCTAAGCTAGCAGAGAATAGCACCAGTGCCGCTGGCAGCCCGGCGAGGAGCTTGTTAAGGGCCTTATTCTGCTCCCAGGGAGGTAAAGGACAAAAACCCCATTGAATTCAGAGTTAGCCGGGGGGCTGCTGCCGAGCTGTCCCCGCAGCTCAACTTTGCTTTCCCAAGGGGAGCACACCCCGCTCCCAGGAGATGCTGGTGCAGCCGATGCTCGGCGCTTGGGTCCTGCACGTAGGGCTTGTTTTATCTGCAGGCTGCTGGGTCTTGCTGTGCGAGACACTCCTGTGTGCGCTGGCTTGGGCTGGAGGAGCAGGGGAGAAGGACTGCTCTGAACCCTGCTCCTGTTGCTAAGGCTGCTCTAGGAGAAATGGGACAATAATTAAGGATTAATCCTCACACTCATTTTTAGTAGCTTGGTCTCAAATGAATACATGCCCAGGAGAAAAAAGTAGCTGCCAAATCATTATTGTACCACCCCCTCGCCATGTTCTTAAGAAAATTACAATTCTTTTTCTCTCATTTACTTTTTCACCAAATACATGTTATGTTTTCCACCCAGAAAAATGTATTTCACACACACTGCCTTGCTGTAATACGAACAAAAATTATTTTCTTCTGAGACGAAAGGAACTTGATGAAAGGCAGCAGCTCCTGCTAAATGCAAGAATATTGCTATGCAACAACAGATTCAACTGAATCTATCTATTTCAGTTTTCTTTAATCCTCAACAGTCGAGAAAACCAGTAGTTTACTATTTTCTGACATTTGCCTTCACTTCAAAGGCAGAGAGAGCCCTGTCCTGCATGCAGGCTGTTGGGTCTTCATACTCTTACTGATTTCCATGGAATTTCCCTGTCTTTCATGGTTTGGGAGTTTCATTGCTATCCCTTCCAAATATTGATTCTTAGTGGAGACGGTAGGTCTGCTGCAGGAAAGTATTGCTCTTCAGGAAGACACATTTCAGACCCTGTGCCTAAAACATTAGGCCCTGGCTGAACATGGATGGATTCAAGTCCATAATTCCTGAGTTGGACCACCAGAGACTAAACCAGTTTTCCCTCCCGAAGTCATGCCTTCTGTGATAATCTTGCACGGTATCCACCCCAAAATGAGGACAAAGATGGGCATTATTTTTTTATTCGCATAGAAGCAGCACATAGCAGCCCAAGCCAGGGACCAACCTGCTGGGGCTGGAGGTGGAGCAGGAGTTCCCAGAGACCTTCTTGGAGCTGATGGAGTGGTAACGGTTAACAACTGCCCCACCAGCCCACGCGTGCGGAGTGACTGGGTGCATCCCAGAGACCACAACTGAGCAAGCAATAAAGGCTTCTGCCTGCCCGAGGTCGGCAAATTGCTACGGCCACGGGCAGGGGCCCAGCTGAGTGTGCAGTTATGTGCACACTGGGCGTTTTAGTCCCATGCTGCCCTTTCCATATGTCTTTTTAAGTTTTAAAACTGATCAGAGTGCTATCTGGAAAACCTATGTGGCTTATTTTGTTTACCTTCAGGATCTATTTGTAAGCTAAATTCGGTCACTGTTTGAGGGACAACATACCAATTCTTTCTCCTCTGTGACTGCAGGGAAAAAAAATACTCCACAAATCTTCTGCTTTGAGCGCTGAAAGGGAAGCAAAACTGGGCAGAACGCAGAGCAGGGCTCTCTGAGGGCCCCTATCAAGAAATCTGATATACTTTCTTTCATTAAAATCATGAAAGACTCTGGCGCTGAGAACAAATATACCCAATGCTCTTTAATACAGCTTTCCTAAGTTCCACGGAGCATTTTCAAACACAAACTTCCTCTGTTGTAATTCTAAATAGTTTGTTATTACAAGATCTGGAGGCTACTCCTAGGGTCGGTCGATGTAAAGAGAGGTTTAGCTCACGTGGTAAGATTGACTATAGTTGAAGTGAAGTGAACTCCTGGAAATCTGGTCACAACTCATAGCATTTGCCAGTCAGATGGTACGCTACAACCCCAAGACTATGCAAGTCTCCGGAGGAGGGTCCTCCCTGTCCCTTCTTGCCTGCTTTGCTGAGTGAAACAGTTAAACACGGGTGGCAGAGTGACTATTTCCAACCTACAGGAGGAGATGCAGCTTTCTCATGGACGTTGCCTGTCCGCGGACTCAGGCAGAAGGTGCTGCACCTGCTCATGGACTGGGAGAGTGGTGTCCATCTCACCCAGCTTTAGTCCCGTAGCTGAGGGGTCTGCGCTCGGTGCCTGCCCATGCGAGGCTCCTTGAGGGTCAGCGGGGAGGCGGCTGTGGACCCTGGCAGGGCTGAGCTTCTCCTGGGGAGGCTCATTCTCCCCAGGGACTCACTGGTGAAGCTCAGGCAGCTGCTCTGCTGTGTTGGGTGCTTTAGTTAAATGTCAGGGTGGAAAAATCCAGCACGTAGCACCTTATAGTGTACAAAGTTTTGCATGCTGTGTTGCTGTTACAGGGTAGCAATGGCCATCACTGCAGGATATACAGATTGATATAGGGGCCAAATCCCAGCGCACAAGAGCAGAGCTACCTTGATTTTTTTTGGTTACTGGGAAAGAAGCCTGTCTCATTTGCAGCCCTCCACCTTCCCATTCCTGTAGTGACCATGTTGCTCAGTTCCCCTGCTT